AAGAATGATTATCAAAAATAAAATAGAGTAGGCCTACAGATAATTGAACAGAGTTCTTTAAACAAATATTAATTGAATATTCAACAAATCATAATTGAGTAGCTGCTAGTTGCTAGGTAATTGAAGTATATCAGATAATTATGGCTATGCTATACTAAAAGACCTCCAAATACCTGATACAATTATTAAAGGTCTAATGTTAATTGTAATTGTCTAAAAAAAATCAATAATACTGTGTATCAGTAATGGCTGTGGTCAAAAAATAAATTTAAAAAATCAAAATAGTAAAGATATTGCCTTTGCTGAATATGTTCAAAATGTCATGTAGTATCCAAAAAACAGCATCTAACAATTCAGTACCCAACAAAACAATACCTAACAAAACAGTACCCAACATGTGTTGAGTGATTAGAGTATTCTTAGAGTAATTGAATGATCTTCTAAGGTGGCTACTTTGATTCAAATTAGATGTGTACTTTCAGTTGTGGTAAGGAACTGTGGACTCCAACTAGATTACACCACCCTTAAGCATTGGGAAAATGGCAAACAATATCCTGTGAAATAAATGGAATTAATTATCTTCTGAAATCACTAATTGAAGAGGTAGCTTAAATGTCTTATCAAGAATGGACAACTTTCCAGTTTTTTTTTTTTTAAGGCAGACACCAGGGTAGAGATTTAAGGAAAGGAATTGACTTAACTATCATTAAGATACCATAATCTTCTTAATTGCATTGTAATGGTATTTTGGAGATAATCAATTAGTATATATATTGTTTAAAAATTTTTCTCACAATATCTTGCCTTCTTTCTAACTTCATTTCTGTAGTAGAATTTGGGAATTTCAGAGAAGTTCTTCTTCCTCTGGACTGCTAAACTAGTTCAGCTATTTTTCTCCTCAACTGGAATATTACAACAGCCTCCATATTGGTTTCCTTGACTGAACTTTATTCCTTTTAAATTTGTTATCAGTATTGCCGTCACTGTGATCCTGGTCTTAGACCATGCCATTCTTTCTAGTTAAAGTCTTTCACTTGTAGAATAAATACAGATTTTAGCATTTTTATTGTGTTTATGTACCAATAAACCCATCATAAGTTGAAAATATTGTAAGTCAAAAATACATATATCTTAGTCATGCTAAGATATAGCATGATTCAGTGTTTAATTTACCTGAACTGGCATAATTAGGCAACTCAGAACAATTAATCGAATATAAAAGTGTGAGGCTAAGAAATAAAAGAAGAGGGGAGAGATAGAAAGGTATAACAAGAACTCTAAGATGAAGAAAATTACAGCATCTCTAAGCTTGCTAACATTCAGACCTGGAAAGGCAGTGCCATGGATTCACTTAATACCTTTGTAATATCAAATATACTAGTTAAAAACCAACTCTTTTGAGAGTAACTCATTTTTTAGAAGGTTGTGAAAAATATGAATTTTTGTTGCCTTTAGCATTTTCTAACTCTGGTGAACCTCTTAAGAGATACTATTATTGGCTGGGCGCAGTGGCTCACATCTGTAATCCCAGCACTTTGGATGGCAGAGGCAGGTGGATCACCTGATGTCAGGAGTTTGAGAGCAGCCTGGCCAACATGGTAAAACCCTGTCTCTACTAAAAATACAAAAATTAGCCAGGCATGGTAGCACGTACCTGTAATTCCAGCTACTCAGGAGGCTGAGGCAGGAGAATCATTGGAACCCAGGAGGCAGAAGTTGCAGTGAGCTGAGATTGTACCACTGCACTCCAGCCTGGGCGTCAGAGCAAGACTAATTAAAAAAAAAAAAAAAAATAGAGAGATACAATTAGAGTAGATAGTGTTATACTATAATAGAGCATTATAGTACCCTGGCTTGAAGAAAACATTCTTTATGAGCAATTTGGTTTTTGTTTCCATTTCACATTTACTAAGCAACATTCAGACCTATAATTTGGCTCCTGAATGGGATGATCTGTATTGAAGGATTACTCCAATCAGATGATTTATTCCCAGTTAATTTAAGAGATACATTTTAAAATTATAGTTATAGGCCAGACACAGTGGCTCATGCCTCTAATTCCAGCACTTTGGGAGGCCAAGTAGAGAGGGTCACTTGAGGCCAAGAGTTTGAGACCAGCTTGGGCAACCTAGCAAGACCCTGTCTTTATGAAAAATTTAAAAATTAGCCAGGCATGGTTGTATGCACCTATAATCCCAGCTAATCGGGAAGCTGCAGCAAGAGGACACCTTGAGCCCAGGAGTTTGAGGTTGCAGTGAGCTATGATCACACCACTGTATTCCAGCCTGGGCAACAGAGTAAGAACTTGTCTCTAGAAATAAATGTAAATAAATAAGTAGATTAAATTATGGTTATTAAGTAAATCAGTTCCTTATGAGTTTGTTAGTATGCATCAGTTCTTAGAGCCCGCTAACACTAAGTAACTTAGTAAGTTTCTGGACTTGCAATATCTTTAATCTTACAAATACTGGATCTAAGTCACTTAGATCCAGTATTTGTAAAATTAACTTCCTACCTGACATGCCTACTTCATTCCAGCCACTTGTGATGACTAAATCAATGAGCCTTCTTTTTTGCCATTTTTTAGTCATATATTTCTGTTTTTAGAACAAATTATAGTTATATATTCTGATTAGCATATAAGAATTGTTGGCCTGGTGCAGTGGCCCATACATTTTATTCCAGTACTGTGGGAGGCCAAGGCAAGCGAATAACTTGAGCTCAGGAGTTTGAGATCAGCCTAGGCAACATGATGAAACCCCCATCTCTACAAAAAATACCAAAAAATTAGCTAGGTGTGGTGGCTGACACCTGTAGTCCCAGCTGCTTAGTAGGTTGAAATGGGAGGATCGCTTGGGCTAGAGAGGTGGAAGTTGCAGTGAGCCAAGATCTTGCCACTGCACTCCAGCCTGGGCAACAGAGCAAGACCCTATCTCAAAAAGAAAAAAAAAAATTGTCTTACTAATGTTAGTCAAAGAGTTCCAAAGGTAAGTTTTCCTTTGAAGAATATTACATATTGGAACACTTTAAGAATTTACATTTCCCTTAAATATGCCTTTTATAGACAATACCAATTGTCATATTTAAAACTTCTTTTGCTTCCTCAGTTTTACCGGGCAGAAGTTGAAGCCCTTCATTCTTCAGGTATGACAGCAGTTGTTAAATTCATTGACTACGGAAACTATGAAGAGGTGCTACTCAGCAATATCAAGCCCATTCAGACAGAGGCATGGGTACGTGATACATATTCTGTACAAAGGCATAAGCTATTTTGAAGAAAATATATAGCTCTAAAGAATTAGTCATAGCCATACAAAATTTGCAAGTGGAATAATATTTTGAATTTACTTATAACTGGCTAATCCTAAAGTAAGATTTTAATTTAATGCCTACACTGAACCACAATAAAAATGAATGCATTGGAATTACTTTTCTTGTATAATGTTTTGTTCTATTATGCTTTGGAAATAGGTGCCCTCATTTACATGTTTGCCAAAAATTTGTACATGTGAAATGGGTTTTTATACATATTTTGTTTCTTTCAAGTTTGCTACTTTGAATTTTACTACATTATGTCCAGCAGCTGTCAAATTCAAATCTCTGTTGGATATGCATATATCATTTTAGTTACAGGTAAAATTAAGAAAAACAATTTAAGTTATATACGATTTTACACTGCATTTACTGCATATATATTGACGTATATATGTACAGATTAACTATAAATTATCTATTTGCTAATTATTGGATTAGTTTTGTTGCCAAGTGTTATATCAAAACTATGTGATAACTTTGATGATGTAACTTAGAACTTATTGGCCTCATGGAGTCCATTTTATAAAGAACGTATGTGATTTTATATAGATTGATTCTTACCTTTAGGCAAAAACAGAAATACAAGACATACTAGAATTAGCTCTGTTAATAAATTTATCATTATAAGCCAATATCAACAAATATGTTGATATTTTCCTAAAATAGCAAAATATTCCAGAAAATTATAATCCCGACAATAGGCTTCATCATTGAAGGATACATTGTTTTCTCATGAGCTGCTTTTAGTTTTGGTCTTCTAAAATTTTTCTGTCATCTCTTCAGTGGTACCCTTTCTCCACCTTCCAAAAAGAGAAATAAAACAGCAAGAAAAAACCGAATAGCAGTAATAATGTTTTGGGCCATGGATTTTTGTTTTTTGCCTTTTTGTTCTGGAGAAATTATTATTTTCCAGATAATTTATTATTTCATATTTTATAACATAAGATTACTAATGGCTCTTCTGTTTAATTAAGAGATCTTTCCCTAACTTTTATTCTCTAAACTTTAATTACTTTTTGCCTAAAAATCCCAAAACATCAATATCTAATTTACATCTTTCTTTTCTTGGAGAAACTTGATGTAACTATATTTTTACTCTTCTGGTTCTCATATGATGGCTATTTTTATTCTCTCTTTTCTATTAATACACACATTTTAATCTAGTTTTTATGACACAAGTAATTATTTATTGAATCTGCATTTCCAGAAGTTGAGTCTTGGTTTGCTATTTATTATGTTCCCAGTTGGTTTTAGCCATAGCAGTCAAAGATTCAAAATACAATTCTTAATGTTATTTACTTCCTACTTTTTAGAAGATTTAATAAGAGGTTAATTTTATTCTTCTCTCCCTAAAGAAAAGTTTAGTTTTCTTAGATGGTTTCTTCTCTCCTTCCTTTTGCTGTTTCAGGGTGTCCATAGCTGAGGAGCACATTTCCTATTCCTCACTTGTAGCTTTTCTATTCAGAGATGTTTGGTCATGAAGTGATCATTTTCTTTCTACAGTCAGTAGAAAAAGTCTTTTCCTGTTTCTCCCTTAATAGTCCTCATGGCTTTATTCTTGATTTTAGGTTTGTATAAGCTTAGCTGGACAATAAATTTGTCAGGTGTCACAGCTTATTTAATGATTCTGTTATGAACTACAGCAATACTTTCATATTCTTCCTACTTATTTATGAATATTTATGCTTTATTGTGTCATTTTTTAACCTATTTTCTTTTTCTGCAGTCAACTTAAAATCTTTTATAAAATACTCGAAATATTTTACAGAAAGAAGCAGGATAGAATCACTAAATCTTTTGGAGATTCTGATATTTCTTTTCTCCTACTTTTATAATCAAGTGATTGTTGATGTTTATGAATTTGCGTAAATTAGTATAGCAAACATTTCTGAATCATGCACATCATGATCAGCCTTTCTTTCTTATCTGCATAAATAATTAACTTAGTTCTGAGGAATATCTCCTTGAAATATAGAGGCCACCAGCTTAACATATCTTGACCTATTTCCATTTAAAAAAATATTTATGTGCGTATAGATGTAAAAAAACCCTGAAGAAATATAGTCTGTGTTGTTGTCAGTACGTGTAATGTAGAGTTAGTGCAGAATTCTCTTAGCCTTCTGAGAGTATTGAAAGTATTAATGTTGGAGTCTTAGAGTACTTTTTTAAAATTTTGGTAATAGGAAAACTAATAAATTTTAGGTTAATTAAAAATGTATAAAATTATCAAAAACCAAAACATTCACTGTACCAGTAAGAAGGTAACTGTAATTGATAAGTCATACTAGAAAAAATAAAGGGCTACAAAGCTGCAGGGAGGTGGTTAGAAGCCTTAGCACAATTACAGTATGGATTGTGGAATTTTTAATTTTTTAACTTGTGCACTATATATGCGCACTACATTTTTTAAATTGTGAAATGATATTGTATCTTTTATTAAGATTTATGTTATTGCCACAAGATTTTGGAAAACTTGTTTTCCTAAATATAGCAGTGAACATTTAGTGAAGATTTTTTTAAACTAAGTTGCAGAAAAAGTCAAAAAACCCTGCATATAAGCCAAAAGCCTTTGTCAAAAATTAGTTGCTTGTATTGTCTTTTAAAAGTATAAGCATAAATTATTAAATAAAAAGCATGGTACATTAAGTGACTCACTAAGTTAATAGCTTGTATGAAAAATTAAAATAAAAATTAAGTTAATGCTTCAACTGTTAATGTTTTTCTCATGAAATTTAGAAATTATTTGCCTTAAATTTGTCAGCAGGCCAAATATTTATTTCTCCTTTTCGTGTGACTATATGTTTTCACTTCCAGAACATACTCACTTGGGGAGTGTATTTTACATGGCCAAAATGTGTGTTTTGATTATGATTAAATACTTAATTTTCTTCAAAATAATTCATTAAACTTTTGTTGTCATCCCTGATTTATTTATTCTAGCTAGATTTCACCTGTTTTTTTTTTTTTTTTTGGTTTTCTTAAGATATTATATCTTAATTTGATTTTTTTTTTTTAGTGAACTTTCTAGTTATCACACATAATATGAGATTAACAGCTCATTATTAACTGGATAAGTGCTCTAATTTATTTATTTCAAAAAATGATTTCTTTGAACTTTATAGGATTTTTCTTATTTTAGTAAAGTAAATGAAACATTATGGAGTCTCATGTTTTACTAGTAGAATTATATATGGAAGAAAACAGATTATTTTCTATTTCCTACCACTGAATGAGAAAAACATTAGGGGCAAAAAATACCTGCTACTTGTGTTTCCCACAGGCCCTTTCCAAATTGGTTCCTTTAAACTCTAAAACTAATTCCAGGAAACTAGTAAAAAGATGCCACAGGCAATTTGGAAGCTTGTAAAATACCCTGGTGCTGCTGATCAGGCAAACTTTTTGTGTTGTTGCTTTTGAATTGCTCTCCTAAACCTGGAAAAACACTGTTGGGTCCTGATTTTCCAAATATATTCATGACCTGAGTTATATTGAGACTTTTATATCCTAAGAAATGTTTTAGAATGTGCTGATATCTGATCTTTTCAAAAGTTCATAGTATCTGCTTCTTGGTGTCAGGAAATCATCATTGTTCAGCTATTATTCCAACTAGAAAAAGGTGATTGTGTAGATAATTGTTAGTTCTAAGACTGTAACATACAGTACACATCGTCTTGGGCAGTAATTCTGGAAAGTGATAGGCAAATTGTTACTGTTTTGTAGGTGATCATCCTATCTTAAGTGTTTTTCTGGACAATATTAATTTATTCAACAAATATTCATTATATATCTAGTACATCTCTTAGGTGTCTGGCACTGTTCTACGTGAGGGTATATATAAGTCTATAAAACACAAAAATCCCTGCCGTCTTCACAAAGATAAGAAAGTCATAGTTTTTATGATGTGAAACAAACGGAAATATCTAATTAGGGTCTGAATTCTTACTTCCTGAAGCTTTAAACAAAATGCTAGTAGAGAAAATCTCATTTACTGAAATAAGGTAACATTTATGCATTTGGAATACATTTATGAATAAATGCTCTGTCCTTCTGTGTCAGCGGGTTTTATATCTCCAGCAAAGTGAAGTTTTAATTTAAACAATTACAGATTATTATTCCATATTAGTTTAAAAATAAAATTAATGTGGAAGAAGAAAACATAAATAATTTTATCTCTTTTTTTTTTTTTTTTTTTGAGACGGAGTTTCACTCATGTTACCCAGGCTGGAGTGCAATGGCGCAATCTCGGCTCACCGCAACC